CCTTCCTTCCTTCCTTCCTTCCTTCCTTCCTTCCTTCCTTCCTTCCTTCCTTCCTTCCTTCCTTCCTTCCTTCCCTCCCTCCCTCCCTCCCTCTCTCTATCTTTCTTTCTTTCTTTTTTTGTGAAAGTTCTGGGGGTTGAACTCAGGGCTTGAGTGCTGTTCCTCAGCTTTTTTGCTCAAGTCTAGCATTCTACCACTTGAGCCACAGCTCCATTTCAGACTTCTTTTGGGTAGTTAATTGGAGATAAGAGTTTCATAGACTTTCCTGCCTGGGTTGGCTTTGAGATGTAATCCTTAGATCTCAGCCTCCTGAGTAGCAATGATAAATGGTGTGAGCCATTTGCACCTGGCTTGCAAATAGTTTTCTTATACAGCTCTATGAATGATCACAGATGAACAGCTGTGGTTGAGTTTTGCTGATCTCCCAGTGATGTTTCTTCTATGTCCCTTTCCATCCCCATCTCCTTTCTTCTTTCCAGAGGTGACTGTCACAATGAAAATCCTAACAGAATTGTGTGAGGGCTCTATGTTTGTCTTGGGCCTTGTCTCCAATATTCAGCAGGGCTAAATAGAAGGGTAACACAGCTGGTCTGAATATTGAATTGGGGCACTGCTCTTTTCTAGACTCCAGATGGTGACATTGGTTCTTTCTGTGTCTCAAACCTGCTAGTCTTGTAACTGACCCAACCTCTCAGACTTTTCACTCAGACTGGAATTACACATCATCTGCTCTCCTGATACCCCGCTTGCTTACTACTGAATACGAACTTCTCACAGTCCATAACTGCATTATTTATAATAAGTCTCTATATGTAATACATATGTGCATATACAGATACACACATATATACACCTCCTATTAGTTCTGTTCCTTGGCAGAGACTAACACAGAACATGACTTTCAAAGGAGGATGTGGGATCTATCACCCCCTTATAATGATCACTCCAGGGAGCAGGCTAGAACAGCCACTTCATGTAGGAGCTCATCAGCGCTGAAGGCCCTTATGAGAAAACTGGATTAATAATAGAATATTAAAAGCTCTGTGGGTCCCCCTCCCAATTTTAGCATAAGTGCTAACTATATTTAGGAAGAGATATCTAAGTGGAACAGTTCATGCTGCTCGGGAAAGACCAACACATTATCTCCCCATCCCCACACCAAAGGACAATGGAGAAGATTTCACATGGGTTATGAAAATCCCACAGTGCAACCTTACCGATCAGAATACCCGCTTTCACGGGCGAACCTCTGAAATGCACCCATGGGATCAGAGCCTGTGCTTAGGATAAACACCAGGGGTGTGGAGTTGGACATGTCCTGATACAGAGTGGCCAGGTCCACGGGTGGAGTCTCTACAAACTGTTTCCCAAGATTCTCTATCACAAAGTCTGTAAGAGCAAAAACAACCTGAAAGTTGGAAAGAAAAAAATATTAAAAATCGTTTGTTAGATAAGGATCCTCTGCAATTGCATCTTAATTGTCTTCTCTTACTCCTCAGAGGGTAGTACCTGGATTTCTGTACATATTCTTTCTTGATTGGGTGGCCTTCTTCCTAAAGACATATATTGATGGACATGCACATGCTTATCTACTGATAGCCATGGTTCTCATGATGAACTGTTGTTTTAAGAGGATGGTCCCGCTCTGCCATTCTTGTCCATACACATCAGCATGGACTTCTCTTCAGTTGAAAGGCTGCACATGTATGAAGTTCTTCCCTCAACTGAGTCATAAGCCTAGTAACCCCCAGACAAGATCTCAAGTACCCAGTTTTGGAGGGTTATCAATAGTGTGGCAGAGTTGCCAGGAAAAGCTTCTCACTCAAGTTATTCTTACTGGCCTGGACCGCCTTCTGTGGTATGGGTGTGGGCTTTACAGGGATCTGTATGAAGCTACTAACTAGAAGAAAAGACAAACTGTCAATAAAGTTGCCTTCAGCTTTTGAAGAAAAAAAGAGGATGGTCCCTCATCGATTTGTTAACTGTAGTTCCTGCTCACTCACTGAGATCACATTCTGAGACCTCCAGTATGTACCCCAAACTGTGGGTACTTTTATATACATACATATATATATATATATATATATATATATATATACACACACACATATTTTCTTTTTCTTTTTCTTTTGTTGGTCATGGGGCTGTAACTCAGGGCCTGGGGTGCTCTCCCTGAGCTCTTTTGCTCAAGACTAGCACTCTACTACTTGAGCCACAGCGCCACTTCCAGTTTTCTAGTGGTTAATTGGAGATAAGAGTCTCACAGACTTCCTGCCCAGGCCAGATTTGAACCTTGATCTTCAGATCTCAGCTTCCTGAGTAGCTAGGATTACAGGCATGAGCCACTGGCACCCAGCGTACACTCTTCTTATGCTCATTCTTCTGATGATGTTAGATGATACAAAGTCTATGTGATGATGTAAAGGGCATCTCAATCTGGCCTAGGGCCATGGCCTTGGATGATTCCCTCTGTGGCCAGCTGGGGAAGGTGCTTGCCCATTTAGGTGCTAACTAGAAAGGTGTTATGGTCCAGAAGGAACAGCTCAAGGGGCTAGCTCTGAAACTAAGTGTACACTCATTTGGCTTCTCTGACATTCATTTCATTATTATTTTTATCTAAAAGATTTGTATTATTAACTGTTCATTTTCTTTTCACATTTGCTAAAAGGCGCTCCTGTCAATACTCAAAACCAGTAATTTGTTTGTAGGGCTGCTATGTAAATGCCCAAATGGTAACACTCACAAAATGCATTTGAATTCAGACAGCTTCTCTTGAAAGTAGGACACATTTCTCTTTATAATGTATAGAGATCTACGTGATCTCTCTGCACCCACATCTCTTTTCATTTTCCTCTGACACCTGGATTTAAACTCAGTACCTAATGCTTTGCTCACTGGCTGGCACTCTACTAACTAAACTACCCCTCCAGTCCTGAAGGGTTGGTCATTTCTTTTTTTCTTCCCATACCAAGATCTCCAGAAACCATTTTTTAGTTTTTTAATTCTGGTGTATGTGACTCTGTAATGTTCATAGACCTCTTTCTAGTTTTGTTGCTTGATCTTTCATATAGTCTTTGGCTTAGGCCCTGAGAGCATATTTGGAGGAATATTTCATTTGTTTTTTGTGCCAGCACTGGGGCTTGACCTTAGGCTCTCATGCTTTCCCTTGGCTTTTTCACGCAAGGCTGGTACTCTCGCTTAGCCACTGCTCTACTTCTGGTTTTTAGGTGGTTGATTGGAGATAAGAATCTCACACTTTTCTGTCTGAGCTGGCTTTGAGTTACAATCTTTAGATCTCAGCCTCTGGAGTAGTTAGGATTATAGGCATGAGCCACCAGCGACTGCATAACATTTTTTTTTTTTTTGGCATCGATATGCTGATGGAATACGAATTCACCATTGAGAAACACTAGTTCTCTGTGCCCAGGAACCCCTACCCAGAAGGGAGTGATTTGTATTTTTATGGTGAGAGAAGATAAGCTTAAGTATTTGGGAATAGTGACTTTCTGCTGCTCCTCAACACTCTGTGAAGACACCAGAAGCCATTCAAACCACCATCTTAAATGGGTGAATTAGGTGCACATAAATTTATGCTTCAGTAAGGCTGACTTTATAACCTTCTCTTTATCTTCAATAGTGGCATTTTTTGGGTGCTACTTGTGTTTGAATTCAGGGCTTCTACCTTGGTATCACTTGAATTACACCTTCAACCCTTTTTGCTCTGGTTATTTTTGGGATAGCCCCTCACTTTCTGGCCAGGATGGGCTTTAGACTACAATCCTTCCAATCTCAGCCTCTCAAATAGCTCGGATGACAGGCACATAGTACTATAATGGCCTCAAACCATAATCCTCGCATCTGACTCTCCTGAGCACCTTGGAACTTGTGTCAGCCACCACACTTGGCTTTAAGTGGCATCTTTAACATATTTAGGTGACTCGTGGTTACCTCATTTCTGTGACACAGCAATGTCTTCGCAAGCAATAGTGCAAAGCATTAATGAAGATGTGGTGGGGAATTTTTCTTCTACAGACTATTTTGCTTAAATAAATAGTCAACAATTAACACCAAAGACTTAAAGTTCCATTTATACAACTGGAATCTCCCAAGTTGGGAAAGCCTTGCATTTGTTGCTCTAAGTGAGATCTCACCCTTGGGATTCTGATTACCTTGTCCTCTTCCCTCAACAGAGAAGAAACTGGCTGCTAGCCATTTCTCCTTTCTGGAGGTTGGAGGAAGCCTGGACTGAGCTGTTCAAGTGCTCCCTCCTCACTGTTGTGAAGTCCCAGCTAAAGGCAAGTTTGACAAGCCCTGTCCCACTTTCACAGATGTTGTAAGTTCCTTCATGATTCTCCCTTTAAAGCATTATGTTCTAGTACAGACTTTATGTTCTTAGTGTCATTTACCAAACTTGGCCATTTAGTCTGAGATAAATGCAATAATGATATTTGGTCAGCCAGATTTAATTATAATATCTAATAACCATGATACTGTCTTTTAATTGAAAAATAGCCTACCTTTTCCTCTCTACAACACTTAATGAGAATTAGCTTGTGGAAAGAGCTCAGTTCTGAAATCCAAGATGTCCCAGTTGCTTCATTTTCCTCTTCTACAGTCATTTCAGGATAGCTTTCCCCAAACTGTGGGTTAATATAAGCCTCAAAATTTCCTGAAAGGCAATTTAAAGACATGCTTTAACTTGAGTTGTTTTCATTCTTAAATTAAATAAGTACATGTGTGTTCATTTTAAAAAAGCCCTTCTTGGAGGGAATGTAAACTTGTTCAACCACTCTGGAAAGCAGTGTGGAGGTTTCTCAAAACTAAACATAGAACTATCTTATGATCAAGCAATTCCACTTGCGGGCATTTGTCCAAAAGATTATAAACCAGGGTACAGTAAAAGCCCCCACACAACCATGTTCACTGCAGCACTGTTCATCATAGCCAAGGTATGGAACCAGCTCAGGTGCCCCTCAATGGACAAATGATCAAGAAAATGTAAGATATATATATATATATATATATATATATATATGTAGCAAAATTTTATTCATTCGTTAGAAAGAATGATATTGCATCATTTGCAAAGAAATGGAAAGATTTGGAAAAAAATTATTTTAAGTGAAGTAGGTCAGGTCCAGAGAGACTAAAGTGGTATGTTTTTCTCATATGTGGAAGCTAGAATTCATTTATAAGCATATAAGTAAATACCTTGGGTGGTATGCAGGTGCATAGAAAGGTATTAACTGAAATATGGTAGAGTCAGGGGAGATCTCAAATGGTGCAATTATTTCTGTACTTTTTTTTTTTGTCGGTCATGGGGCCTGAACTCTGGGCCTGGGCGCTGTCCCTCAGCTCTTCAGGTCAAGGCGAGTGCCCTACCACTTGAGCCACAGCGCCACTTCTGGCACAATTCTTTAAAAAGGTGAAATCAAAGGTCAGCAAGATAAACACCAAGAAACAGTGGTAAGAGCAGGGGTGAGGTCAAGGGGAGAGGGATTGACAAATGAAGAGAAGGGAGGGGAATGCAGTCAAGAATTCAATGTATATCCTACAAAATTAAGAAAAATAAGGGAAGGGATGAGTTGGGAGGGATAAGTGACATTAATCAAGATGCATTATATTCATAAGCTGCTTTGTTGAGTGGTAGCTCCTTTGTTCAACTACTTAAAGATAATAATATAAAACCCTCTATATTTTCAATAAGTTTTTTTTTTGGCCAGTCCTAGGGTTGAAATCTGGATCTAAGTGTGTTCATACTTGAGCGTTCATACTCTACATACTCTAGTGCTCTACAACTTGAGCCACAGGTCCACTTCTGTTTTTTTGTGGTTAGTTGGAGATAATAGTCTCATATACTTTTCTGCCAGGGCTGGCTTCAAACTGTGATCATCAGATCTCAGCCTTCTGAGTAGCTAGGATTACAGGTATGAGCCACTAGCACCCAGCTCTTATTAGAAGTTATAATCAAAAGTGTAAATGCATTCATCTTACCCTATTCAAAGTAGTTAAAAATAAAGCATTTAAATGAGATCACACACATAAAAAAGCCCAACAGCAAACAAAAACTAAAACAATAGAGAGGCTAAAAAATAGGGATGCATTATGCCAAGCAAATGTGAGAAAAAATGGACGTGATAAGTTGGATAAATTAGAATTCAAGGCAAATCATTGAATGAGAAAATGTAAGTCAAGTTATATTAATTAAAAAGCAGAGAAAGAAGGATCTCAATTAGAGACTAGCCTGGACAAAAGTTAGAGTGACCTATTTTAAAAACAGGCCAGGTGTTGTGGTCACGCCTCTAATCCTAGCTACTCAGGAGGGAAAGGGAGAAGAAATATAGTCCAAGGCCAGTCTTGAGAAAAGCATTAAACTCAATTTGAAAAATAAATTAAAAAAGCTGGGTGTTGGTGGCTCATGTCTGTAATTCTAGCTGCAAAGGAGGCTGAGATTTGACTATCCTGGTAAGAAGTCAGTCCCAGCAGATAAATCTAAGAGACTTTTATCTTCAATTAACCAACAAAAACCTGGAAACAGAGGTGCAGCTCAAGTTGTAGAGCACTAGCCATGAGAAAAAAAGTTGAGTAAGGGCACAAGGTCCCGAGTTCAAGCCTAGCACCATAAAGAAAAAACAAAGCAGAATGGCAGGGTATATTACTCAAGGTGTAGAATACTTACCCAGCAAGTGTAAGGCCCCAAGATCAATCCCTAGTACTAAAGAGTGTCATAATAAAAACATAACACAATATAAATATAACACAATAAATGTGTCAGATAATAACATAAGAATTCATCATATAATCACTGTTGGAGGTAAAAGAGAAAGCAGGCAAGACATAATAGTGATGAAAAATGGTGCACAATTACCAGCCTATGATAGAAGGACTGAAAATTCCTGCATGTGTAATTTGAATGACAAAACAACAGACAAATAAACTGACATCTATACGTTATGCCCAATAAACAGAATACAACGAAGTATCTCCTCCCCCACCAAGATAGAATATAAACAATGAACTTGTATCCTAAATGACAGAATTCTCCTTGGTCCTACAATGTTTATATCATATAGTATGGGTTAGCACTGGTTTCTGTTGGCCTAGGTATACTGTGTGCGTTAAGCCTCACTGAGAGCAGACATAGCCAGTGTGTTTTCCATTGATGAACAGCAGGTTAAAGAGATGGCTTGAATTTTCAGGCTGAAAACCCCTTTTTCTTTCTGTCTATGCTCTCATAGCCTGATAAAAGCAACTGAAGAGCTCGATGACATAAAAAAATTTGGTGCCATGATGACTGTGTCCTCACTATCTTTGCAAGACTTTTGATCCACAGTATGATTCAGGGCCAACCTCATCATACCATCTTTGATTGAAGGGGTTGAGTTCCTTTGAGGATGAGGTAGCTGAAATACTCATTGTAAATTAAAATAAAACCAAAGCAACCCACCTTCCAAAACTTCCCCGGAGGTTCTCATTTATTACATGATCACTATCGCACTAGTGTATTTATTTATTTATTTATTATGCCAGTACTAGGGCTTGAACTCAGGACCTGAGTGATGTCCCTTAGATTTTTTTTTGTTCAAGGCTAGTGCTATACTACTTGAGTCACAGTTCCATTTCTGGCTTTTTGCTGGTTAATTAGAGATAAGAGTTTCACAGATTTTCTTGCCTGGGCTGGTTTGGAACCACAATCCTCAGCTCTAGCTTTCCTGAGTAACTAGGATTATAGGTGTGAACCACTGGTACCTGGAAAGGAGTAATTTTAAGGAAAATATAATAAATATAACTTGAATTTCAATTTAATTTGTGTGTGACTGTGTATAAGTGGTATGTTTGTGTGAGTGCAAGTATGTTAGTGAATGTGAGTGCATGTGTATTAGTGAATGTGAGAGTGTGAGTGTGCATCTCTGTGTGTGTGTGCATGTGAATGTGAGTAAAAAGGGTCTGACTCATCCACTTGAAGTCAAGAAAGAGACCAAAAAGAAAAAGCTACCCTCTTCTCCAGTCTTCACAAAGAAGATAATGGAAGCAAGTCCGAAGAGACCAGAGCTTCTCAATGTCATTAATATTGACATTATGGACCAAGTAGTTATTAATTGTGGAGGTTGGTCTGAGCTTTGTTGGATGCTTAGTAGCATCCTGGGATTCTACCCACCAGATACAACCAGCAGCATTCCAGTTGTGGCAAACAAAAACGTCTGCAGACATTGTGTTTTCCAGGGAATAAAACCCTCCCCTATTGAGAAAAATAGGAGACCAATAATTGTAATAAATATCTTGGATTAAAAACTGATTGTTAAACAACGAGGACTCTCCCGCCTCAAAACCCTAAGATCCCACTGAAGATACTAAAGCCACAATTAGAATACAAAAGGACTGGAAATAGAGAATAGATTAAATATAGAGATGGTGACCACTAATGAAATTTACTATAATAGTACTAACATTAGAAAATATATTTTAAGGTAAAAATCTTGATGAAGCAGAAAGAGAAATATTATTTAAAAAGGAAAAATTTGCTAGGGAGATAATCTACCTACATCTATCTGTGTAACAGCATAATTTTATAAGATATAATGGCAAGTGTTCCAAATTTATAAGGACAAATGGTCAATCAAAGTGGTGTACCTTATTACATTCCCTTAAAATCTGACAGATAAAGTATAAACATCAATAGGATAATTAGCAAGTTGGAGTTAAATGTCATGCATGGAAACTTGCATGTAATAAATGACACATGTGGAATATTTTCCTGAACTTGCATGGGTTACAAAAAAAGGTCTAAATAGTGGCAGAAGCAATTTCATTCAAACCATTAATTATGCATAATAAAAAAGATGGGTCCCCAAATTCTACATGCTTTCAAATGGAAAAGGCAGCCCTAACTGTAGAGACAGATGAGGGGTGCCAAAGGGCTGTCTCTTCATTTGGATGGTGGCATATAAGTATTAGGCTTATGAAGGTTCATCAGGTTGTTCTTCTAATTTGTGTTCTTGTCATATAAATTATCCTTCAAGATCTTTAAAATATATGGAATGTAGCTACAGTAGCACTGGAGGTGAACTCTATGTTATATACAATTTGTAAATAAATCACAATATGCCCTGTTTGTCAGTCAGAAATTAATTTATGCCAATAAAAAGTTTAAAAAATGGACATAAAGTAACTATTATAACAGTTACTGAGCCAGTAATAAGAGTTGCTGGGTTCCAGTGGCTCATGACTGTAAACCTGGCTAGTCGGGGGGTTGAGATGTAGAGGATCATGGTTCAAAGCCAGTACAGTCAGAAAAGTCTGAGATGCTCCATCTCGTAAAAATAACTAGCAGCCGGGCACTGGTGGGTCATACTTGTATTCCTAGCTACTCGAGAAGCTGAGATCCTAGGATTGCTGTTTGAAGTCAGCCCAGCCAGGAAAGTCCATGAGATTCTTATCTCTAATTAACTAGCGAAATAAATCCAGATGTGGAGCTGTGGCTCAAATGGTAGAATGCTAGCCTTGAGCACAAAAGCTCAGGGAAAATGTCCAGGCCCTGAGTTTAAGCCCCATGACAGGTATACATACAACAAAACCCCAGCAAATAAAGCAAGACTGGAGGCATACCTCCAGTGGTAAAGGGCTAGCTGAGCAAATGTGAGGCCTTGAGTTCAAACCTGGGTAACACCAACTATATATAATTCACGGACCAAGAACTGAACTCAAGAAATTGTGAAAATAATCAATCCTCAATTTCTTAAATATGAGAAATGAAGAAACTTTGTAGTGAAACACATTGTCATTGCAGATGAGATTGAAGGAGACACAAAAATCAGGATTCTAGAGCTTATACACAACCCCTGTACATCAGGTACTTTTTGTCATATTACCTATGACTATGGAAATGGGAAATAATAGTAAATCTCTTGTAAGGCCTTGAAAAGCTGGAAAGGATTCTTCCAAGTCCCAGCATGCAAACCATGTGGCAGGAAGTAGCCAGGGAACTTCCGGTTTAGGTGGGCGCTCCTGAAAGAAGGCAAAAGCTAAATAAGTAACAGTTTATAAAGGCAGCCACAAAATGCTCTTTCACCTTGTTTAAGGGAGCAATCAAGCTGTAATAACTCATTAAAATTTTTTTTCCTAGGACAAGTAATAAGACATGGTGCTACAGAAGGGTGTTGAGTCTCTCCTCCAGTGGACCTCTGCACAGAGGATGGTTGATGAAATATAATTGAATTATGAACCATAATGCCATAAGAAGGCCAAGGTTGCTTCTCGGTCTGACATGCACAGAGACCAAAGCTTTCTTCCAGACTCTGGCACAGCATCTCACATCAGTCTGTGGAACTAGAGTTCTCTAGAAGGAAGGAGAGGCTGAGGAATGGAGCACATCAGTACTGAGACAAGGGCAGGTCATCTCAGCTGAGACAGCACATATTTAATTACTATAGATATATTTAGAAGTCTCTAGTGTGCCACCTGGCAAGATTACATACATAGATGGTAAATAATTTTATAAGAGTGAGAAATAAGCTGAGCGCTGGTGGCTCATGCATATAATCCTAGCTACAAAATCTCAGGATCAGAGTTCAAAGCCAGCCTGGGCAGGAAAGTCCATGAGACTCTTATCTTCAATAAACCACCAGAAAACCGGAAGTGGCGCTGTGGCTCAAGTGGTAGAGTGCTAGCATTGAGCTGAAGAGCTGAGGGACAGCACCCAGGCCCAGAGTTCAAGCCTCATGACTGACAAAAAACAAAACAAAACAAAAAGCAACAACAAAAAAACAAAAACAAATCTCATAACTTACAACTGACCTATTCACAGTATACAATCCAGGTAGGCCTAGTGGCTCACATTTATATTCCTAACTTCTTAGGAGGTAAAGATCAGGAGAATTACAGTTTGAGGCCAGCCAGGTGAAAAATTTTCAAGACTCCATGTCAACAACACCATGACCACCACCAATATAAAAAAGATAGGTGCAGTAGTATGCACCTGTCACCCTAGTTTGTAGAAGTATAAATAGAAGGACTGTGGTCCAGGCTGACCTAACAAAAATACAACTACCATTTTCACAAATAATCAAAGCAAAAGGGCTTGGGTATAGTTCAAGTTACCCCTTGCTTAAAAAGTATGAGGCCCTGGGTTCAAAACTTTAGACAACAAACACATATATAATCCAATGACTGTAAGTATATTAACAGTTATAGAGCTGGGTACACACACAAACCCCATCTATGTGCAGCTATTACCACAGTCCATTTTAGATCCTATATAAAAGATAACCAAAGCAATGGGTGCTGGAGGTATAGCTCAAGAGGTAGAGTGCCTGCATAGTCTTTTTTTTTTTTTTCGGTCGAGGGGCTTGAACCCTGGGCTTGGGCGCTGTCCCTCAGCTCTTCAGCTCAAGGCAAGCGCTCTACCGCTTGAGCCACAGCACCACTTCCAGTTTTCTATTTGTTAATTGGAGAAAAGAGTCTCAGGGACTTTTCTGTCTGGGCTGGCTTTGAACTGTGATCCTCAGATCTCAGCCTCCTGAGTAACTAGGATTACAGGGGTGAGCCACCGACGCCCGGCTTGCATAGTCTTTTACTAGTGTTAATCATGCTGTTTCATGGATTATGTATTTTTGGTCCTGGAAATACTGAATAAACGTTGATATATCCAAAACCAAAACAAAAACTTCAGGAAAAATTTTTGAAGATGGTTGTTGGGTATTTTTAAATTTTGAGACTGATGGGTATTTAAAACACATTTTATATACACGATGGTATTTAAAACACATTTTAAACTGATGGTGTTTAAAGCATATTTTAAACTTTTCAAAATATGCTGCTCATGAAAAGTAGCAGCTCATACTGGAATGGACAAGGGCTTTAGAACCTTAGAATCAAGCCAGACACTGGTGGCTCACACCTGTAATCCTAGCTACTCAGGAGGCTGAAATCTGAGGATTGCAGTTCAAAGCCAGCCCAGGCAGGAAAGGCCAGGAAATGCTTCTCTCCAGTAAACCACCAGAAAACCAGAAGTGGCGCTGTGGCTCAAATGGTACAGCACTGGCCTTGAGCTGGAGAACTAAGGGACAGTGCCCAGGCCCAGAGTTCAAGCTCCATAACCCCCCCAAACAAACAAAGGAACAACAACAACAACAAATACCTTAGAATCAGACTCTTGTCATACATTAGTGTGTTCTGGAAAGTTCTTTAGCTTCTCTGATTAGCTATACAAAAACATGCTTCATATTTGTCAGGTGGTCAACTTTGCATAAGATGTTTACACCCTCTAGCTCACTGGTTAGTCATGCAGGTGAGGATACTGTGCTGGATGCTGTGCTGCACTATAACCTGGGCTTCCCTCTCTGCAGCTCCCTCTCCAATGAGCCAAACAGCCAAACTTACAACCTGCAGCTGCCACAGTCTCCATGGAGCATGGGAAGGTGCTTCTCTACCTGGAACCACCTTTTCCCTCTGAATGAGGAACAGTTACCTTTTCCATCCCTGAAGAACCACGCAGGAAGAAATTCCATTCGGCTTCGGTTACTGATCCGTGCTGACGCATGATGTCCACACAGAGCATAAAGCTGTAGATGAGCTTATGCTGTTCAAACAGCCCCCTGGAAACATTGATGTAGGCAGTCAGGAGAGTTTGTTCCAGGAGTGTGTTCAGTCGCTGACGTAGGTCATCTGACTTCATTGAGGTTTCAATGGTTGTATTGAACAACTGTGAGAAAGAGAGAACAATATCTCTGAATTAAATCATTCTCTGTGAAGGAAAAAAAAATCCCTGTTCCTTCTCTTCCTCCCTACCTCCACATTCAGTGAGCAAGATCGCAGCACGGAAGGTGAACACTGTCCTATGAGAACAATCTAGAACTCATTCCAAGTCGACACAAGTGATACTTATGTTCCCTCTCCCGTTTACCAGAAATAGACTAATGCCAAACTCTGGACAATGTTCAAAATGTGTCACTTGATAGAAGAAACTCTGAAAAAATGGAGATGAGCTTACAGGACCATTTTTTTTCTCACATTGTCGGTTTATAGTTGATAACTTCTTCCTTTAGGAAGAGAGCTGTTAAAGACCAGGTAAGGTCTTGCATTATCCTTAGTGTTTTCCTAAGGTCATTCTCAGGAAGTGGAAAAAAATATGCTAGAATTTGTCTTGAAATAAGAAAAGCTGACTTAAAAAAAATAACCTTGGGAGCAGTTTCTCCCCTAATGGTGTCCCATCTTATAAGGACACTGGAAAGGCAGCTGAGATGGTGTGGATTGATTAGAAATGGCAAGGTCAGATTAGGCCTACCCATTCCAAGTACCATCTAAGGCAGATCCCCAAATTCCTGAGGCCCCAGCTGTGTGGGGAAGCTGAGGAGAGCCTGAACACACAGGTCTGCCCAGAAGTTACAGGGTGAGGGGATCATATAGCAGAGACTGCTATATGACTGCAAAGTTCAACCAGGGGAAGATGAGTCATGTGCCACAGCCTGAGGGACAAAGGTGAGAAGAAACTCTGGCAGTTCAAAGCATGGGAGATCAAAGCAGACTGGAAGCTGGCAGCCAACTGAGGACAAAGAAATGTGTTTTGTCTATGTCAGTGACTTACACTTGGAATCCTAGCTGTTCTGGAGGCTGAGATTGGGAGGATTGCATTTTATTTTTTTAAAATTTATTTATTTTTTATTGTGAAAATACTGTACAGAGGGGTTACGATGGGCAAGATAATGAGTACACTTCTTATCAAGCATTGTAGCCTCCTCCTTTGTTTACCCTTCCCATCCCTTCCCATCCTCCCCCAGCCTCCCCCCAATCCTCTCCCATCTCCCCCTCCCCCCAGCCGCACCAAAGTTGTGAAGTTCATTTTCGACATAACGACTTGTATATCTCATTGTTGCAATGGGTCCACCTGTATCTCTATATAAACGATTTGTTTTTCCCCTTCCCCTCCACAAATTATACCCACATCAAATATAGTGAAAGCAGGGATTATACTTTGGGTGAGGGACATACGAAGCAACAAAGAAATAATCTTATAAATGTGTTAGAAACAATTGCATGAAAGAAAAAAAAACATTTGAATACATATCTTATTAAAGCCAGCTCAGGTGTCCTGCTGCTAAGTCAACAAGGAGTGAAAATACCCTGTTCGCCAGAGATTCGATCAAACTCAACTGTGAGTGTAAAGATAAGGTAAAGAGACAGAAATAAAGCCAGAGAGTCTCACAATCATGGGAGGAACAAAGGAAAGCATTTCCTTTTTCCTTCCTTCTTTCTATCCTTTTTTTTTGTACTGATCTTGGAGCTTGACCTCAGAGTGTAGGCACTGTCCTGAACTTCTTTACTTCTGACTTTTTTTTTTCTGGATAGTTTATTGGAGGTAAAAGTCTCATGGACTTTCCTGACCAGCTGGCTTCGAACCACAAGCCTCAGATCTCAGCCTCCTGAGTACTAGGATTACAGGTGTGAGCCATTGATGCCAGCAGAGGTTTTTCTTAAAGCCAGTGGGAAAGAGGAGAAAGACTGTTGTATAAACAATCTGGGGGAAAAAAAAGACATGAGAAGTGAGCTTGGTTGGAGTTGGTGCTGTTAGTAACTAACACAGACAACACTAACACAGATAACACTAACAGCAGAAAGGAAATGGGACCACTGCAGAGAAAGTATAGATAAGTGGAGGAGAGCTGTGACTCGTAGAACAAAAGACAGACAGGCAAGAAGGAAAACACACAAATTAGTTGAGGAAACCAAGAGAAAATGTGTCTTGCAAAGCAGCTTTCTTCTCTTCCTCTCCAGTGTGCTGTGCATACTGGGTATTGGAATCTTTAGGAGACATAATGATCGCTCTTCTTCGATACTGAGGATTGAACCCAGGTTCTTATGCTTGTTTGAATCATGCTTCCAGTCCATTTGCTTCTCAGGTTTTTTTTTTGGGGGGGGGTAGGGTGGGGTGAGGGAGAGATAGGGTCTCATGTTAACTTCTCAAGCTGGCCTTCCACCTTGATCCTCCTACCTTTGTCTCTCCAGTGGCTGAGACTGCAGGTGTGCACCATCATTCCTGATAAGGCCATACTTGAAGCATGCCTCTGCCCTCCAGGAAAGCTCTACCCAATAACCCAATTTGATCTCATGGCTGTTCTGTAGCAGGAATGCTTCAACAGGATTTATAGGGAAGCCACAAAGATGGAGCTCACCACCACCACCACCACCATTGCACTTACCTGTTTAAAGTATTTTAATGAATACTGATACATAGGATCTATTTCTGAAAGGCTTGCAATGACAAAGTACATCACAGAACCTTGAGTGGCTACTGGGCGATACTTCTCCCGGGCCACATTGATCATCTGCTCAGTGGACTCTGCTTCTTTCAGCCTGATTTTAATGGCACCAGAAGTGATCTGCATAGACATACAATAAATTCTCAGGGGTCTGTTTCAGAAAATACTGAGGACTTTTTTTTTTGGGTCCGGTCATGGGGCCTGAACTCTGGGTCTGGGCACTGTCCCTCAGCTCTTGCTCGAGGTTAGTGCTCTACCACCTGAGCCATAGCGCCACTTCCGGCTTTTTTCTTTTTGCTTATGTGGTGCTGAGGAATCGAACCCAGGGCCTCAGGCATGCAAGGCAAGCGCTCTACCACTGAGCCATCTTCCCAGCTCCAGTACTGAGGACTTTTGAAGTCAGTTCTTGGAGAGAAATCAGACAGAATGACCTGGTGATTTTAATAAGGGGGTTCCAGAGCAATGGTGAGTCTCAGGATTTCCTCTGGCTGAGCTGACTCTCCCTCTTTCTGGAGTTCTGGCAAAGGGGAATGGGAAATTTAAGAAGCCCTGAAAAGACTAGATCAGGACTTCTCTAAGATGCCTATCTGAATTACTCCAAAACAGAAACATTAAGGCAGCACTACCAAAAATGGATCTCTTAACTTTTTCATGAGCAATGCAGACATATGTAAAGAAAGAAGGGACACCCAGGGAATGCCTAAAAGCGGGGCAAAGAAACATTGGAAGGAAATGATCCTATAACCCACCCTGGATGGAAAAGATGGTTTAATATTAGTATTCTTTTTCTGGCATTGCCAGGGGTAGACATAAGGAAACACCTTACAGTAGAGGGAGAAGCTGATGTTTGTGAAGGGCTATGGAACTAAAGTGAGGAGCTGTTTCCAAGGTCTTCTGTTGTTCTTTTGTTTTTCTTTATGGCTTTTTTTCTTTGTGGCTCTGGGAAGGCTTTTGGCTTTCTAAGATTCTCTTTTCTATGTCTCATAGTCTCTCTATTACTGTCTGCTCCTGTTTCCTCCCTCCCCTGCTGCTTTTCAACATAGATACTCCTGGGTTGGGAGTTCCTTTTCTTCAGAAAGGCGTTAGTGCAGAACCACAGAAGTCATTATGGGATCAGCATGTCAGTGTTGGCTGGATAGAAGGAGAGCTGATGGGAACCATCAGACTAGACTTCTGTCTAAATCAGTGCTTACCAATAGAAACCCAATGGCAGCCACATAGAAGCCTCAAATTTCCCAGTTTATGAAAAATAAAATGAAACAAGTAAAATTAGTTTAAACAATGTTTTGTTTAACTTAACCAAAATCAATGTGCATCAATAACAATAAAGATTACATGTTTAATACAAGTATTTGAAATCTGGTGGTTTTTTTTGGGGGGGGGTTCTGGTCGTGGGGCCTGAACTCTGGGCCTGGGTGCTATCCCTCAGCTCTTCAGCTCAAGGCTCTACCACTTGAGCCACAGTGCCACTTCTGGCTTTTTTTCCCCTCTGTTTATGTGGTACTGAAGAATCCAACCCAGGACCTCATGCATGCAAGACAAGCACTCTACCACTGAGCCACCTTCCCAGCCCCTTGTGTGTTATTTTATACTAGCAGCACATCTTAGTTCAGAAGCCAGGTCCTGAGTGGTCAATGGCTACATTTGCTTAGCAGCTACCTCCACACTGAAGGGTTTAAATCTAATCTGTTGACTCTACCCAATAGGAAAAGGAGGGGAAGGATTTAATATAGAAGTTGTGTCTAGGAATCAGAAGACTCGAACTCTCCCTGTATTTAGGCACCAAGGGGAAGTAAATAGTAGAGTTGGGGGAAATCTTTAATCCTGGACACAGCCAAAGCTTTCATGGAAATAGAAAAGGGAAGTCAATGTGGCACCAGTTGGGTCATGGAGGCCCAATAACAAATATTTCCTTATTCCCTAGGAAGCCTCAGGCTTTGATAATGCAAAATTGGGAAAGTGGAGCAGTCTCTTCTTCTTTTTCTTTTTTTGCCAGAGAACACTGGAACTCTTATACTTCAGCTGGGTTTGGTAACTACAGTCTGGCTTTAGCAGTGCTTAGAGAATATAGGACTTGTTTTAAAATAAGAAACTTGCAAGTTGAAGGGAGTATAAGCTGCAATCAGAAGTAGGAAGAAATGATTCCACTTGCCTTTGATTCTTGGAGGGTATCAATAAGTTCCTCATTGTCTAGAATATTTCCTTCAGACTGAAAGAGCATTCTCAGAATTTTATCTTCAATAGCTTTCAACTGGTTTTTGTCACTGTTGATCCTTACAATGAGCTGAATTCTTTGTTCTTCCAAGTCAGGTTTTTCAAGTCGCACCACATCACTAGACCCAAAGTTGGAAGACCTGAATTACCCTTTGTCGGTGACCTAAAGTTATTTTTATGTCTCTTTCTATGTTTGTAATTGTTCTTATTTAGAGAGCTATTAAGCTAAATAGTCATGCCACTAGCCAAATCTGAATGCTCAATTTGTCTCTTCTACTGTCAGCTCTGATTCTTAGTCCTGTGTTTCAGAGATCTGTGCCTACCATCATTATGACAGCCTTTACTAACTCTCAAGAAACTTGCTTCTGGCTCTCTAACATTTGATCTCTCTCTCTAATTAGCTTGAGCCAAGCTGAAAATGCTGCCTACATTATTCTATTTTATATTGATGTGGAAGATTGAAAAAAAACCCACCACTTTTATGAAACACCCCTTTTAAGCTTTAAAGTATGCAGCATTATTTACTATAGCTAAGATATGGAACCAACCCAGATGCCTCTCAGTAGATGAATGGATCAAGAAAATGTGGTACATATACACAATGGAATTCTATGCCTCCATCAGAAAGAATGACATTGCCCCATTTGTTAGGAAATGGAAAGGCTTGGAAAAAATTATATTAAGTGAAGTAAGCCAGGCCCAAAGAAACATAGGTTCCATGGTTTCCCTTATTTGCAATATTTAGTATATGTCTGAGTCAAACAGAAAAGGTCAGATAAGGTGATGTTAGGGAAATGAACCCTAAGATATGTATTCAAATGTTTTTTTTCTTTCATGCGATTGTTTCTAACACATTTATAAGATTATCTCTTTGTTGCTTTGTATGTCCCTCCCCCACAGTATAACCCTGCTTTCACTGTATTTGATGTTGGTATAATTTGTGGAGGGGAAGGGGAAAAACAAATCGTTTAAATAGGGATACAGGTGGACCCATTGCAACAATGAGAAGTACAAGTCGTTATGTCGAAAATGAACTTTACAACTTTGGTGGGGGGGGGCAGGGAGGGTTGGGTGGGGGGAGAGGATGGGAAGGGATGGGAAGGGGAAACAAAGGAGGAGGCTACAATGCTTGATAAGAAATGTACTCATTTCTTGCCCATGTAATTGTAACCCCTCTGTACAGTATTTTCACAATAAAAAAATAAAAATTAAAAAAAGAAGAAATCCTGTAAAAATATAGTTATCATTACTTGCATACATAATACATGTATCTGTTCTTATAAAAAAATATGAAGTCAGAGTTTCTTTTCTCAGGAAACCTTTCCATCTCAAAAGCTTAAGTCTTCCTAGTGGTGATCACTATGTTTGACATATGTTCCAACGTACATCCTTCTAAAGCACTTTCTCTGAATGTGTACTTACATATACATAGACATGGAATAAACTTGAAGATATAACAATAAGTAAAAAAAAGAGCAAAACAGTAGGTTGTCTGAGTGGATTAAGGGAAGTCCTTGAAACAGAATAGGGTCTAGTGCCACACTAAAAGGACTGAGAGTTTTGGTCTCAGTGTCTAGGAGGCAGGGGGTTGAACTCTGGTGTTCAGAATGGTGAGGGCTTTCAAGAGCAGAACAGGGAAAATGAACTAGATGATGGTTTCTCAGGATCCAGGTGGACTGAGCTGCCCTCTCCACAGAATACAGGCCACCGAGTCCCCTTTTAGAGCCATCAGTCATGCAGAAGAGCAGGGAGATTCTGCACCTCCCCTCTCCCCCACATGCTGGTCTCAATATTGCCCTTCTCCTTGGGCACTTTTTGTCCAGGCAGTTTAGTGACATAGGTAAGTTTAGCTATTCACAGAAAAAAATGGTATGCCAAATGTTCAGTCATGTTTTTAGAATACATCAATAAAAGGCTTTAAAATTCCCTTTAAGTGGAAAGAAATGAACGTGGCTTAATTTAAGTTAGCAGCTGGAAGAATTTCTAAAAGAAACAAGGAAAATAGGTCTTAGTTCAGTGGTAACGGATATAAACTGGGATGATCTTGACTTGAACATAAAGTACACTTTTAAATAACATGAACTCAAATTATGTTTTTGAAGTTAATATACACATGTTTGTCAAATATGGTCATGTGCTGCATAGTGACATTTCTGTCAATAATGAACTGCATTTGTAAGATTTGTAAGATTATGTGCCATACTAATGTACTGATGTACTATCTTTCTATAAATACTCTTTATGATTTTCCCTGACAACACATTTCTCAAGATGTATCCTTAATGTTAAGTGATACATGTTTATTTAAATATTTATCTATCTATCTAATTAGTTATCATTGAGCTATCACATTGGTTTTAACCATAGTAACATTAGTTTTTTTTATTCTTTTTCTTTTTTTCTCAAGGTTGGTGCTCTACTACTTGAGCAATATTTCTGTCTGGGCAGGCTTCAAATTGTGTTCTTCAGATCTCAGCCTCCAGAGTAGATAGGATTATAGGCATGAGCTACAGTGCCTAGTACAACATTAGTATTTTAAGAAAAATTTAAAAACTTTTGCTCTTGAGCCTCTTGCTAATTCTGACCACTAATATTAATAATTCATAATTCCATGTTTTGAAAAATCAGAATTTAATCACATCCAGAATATACCAAGGGAAGATGTTTACTTTTTTGAAGTGGACCATTGTAGACATAATTAACTATTCTAATGAAATATCTAGAGACCAGTGAACCCAGGGAGAGTAAATTTGGAGTTGCTGTTTCTTCACAGATGGGAAACAGTGAGTTTATAGCAACAACAGAATGCTGGATTTCATTCATTAGCTGGCAACCAGAGGGACAAGGTGGAATTTAAATAAGTCTCTGACCTCTTTGAGAAGACTCTAGGTCAGCTCAATGGCTGTGAGCAACTGTAACAATGGTGAAGAGCTTGGCCATTTACTATTTTTTAATATATAGTTTTTAATGTAAAGATACTGTACAGAGGGGTTACAGTTATATGAGTAAAGTAATGAGTATATTTTCTATTGAGCCTTATTACCCTTCCTTTGTTTTTCCCTACCATCCCTCCCCTTCTCACCTCCTCAACTCTTCCCCACCCCTCGAAAAGTTGTAAAGTTCATTTTCAACATTCTGTCTTGTATGTCTCATTGTTACAATGGGTCAACCTGTATCCTTATTTCAGCATTTTGTTATTTCCCTTCCCCTCCCCAAATTAGAAAAACATATATACAAGATGCAGGGCACCAGAATCAAATACAGTGAAAACAGGGATTATACAATGGGGGTAGAATATATAAAAGGAACAAAAAAATTCACACAGTACATTATATATTATAAGTACATTAAAAACAACAGCAAGAAAGATAAAACCTCTTGTGTCCCTATCTTGGTGTTCATTTCACTTATATCATCTTATATGGTCAAATAAGGGAAACCATGGTACCTATGTTTCTTTGGGCTGGCTTACTTCACTTAATATAATTTTTTCCACGTCTTTTCATTTGCTAACAAATGGGGCAGTGCCATTTTTTCTGATGGAGCATAGAATTCCATTGTGTGTGTGTGTGTGTATATATATATATATATATATATATATATACACACACACACACACACACACACACACACACACACATATACACACATATATATATATCACATTTTTTTAATCCATTCATCTACTGAGGGCATCTGGGTTGGTTCCATATCTTAGCTATGGTAAATAATGCTGCAATAAACATAGTTGTGCTGGTAGCTTTAGTGTGGTCTTGTTTGTGATCATTTGGGTAAATGCCCCAAAGTGGGATTTCTGGGTCATAGGGGAGCTCTATGTGGAGTCTTTTGAGGAACCTCCATACTGCTTTCCAAAGTGGTTGAACAAGTTTACATTCCTACCAACAATGCAGTAGAGTTCCCTTTGGCCACATCCCCTCCAGCATCTGTTATTAGATTTCTTGATTATAGTCATTCTAACTAGGGTGAAGTAGAATCTCAATGTTGTTTTGATTTGCATTTCTTTTATGGCTAGAGAAGTTGAGCATCTATTCATGTGTCTAATGGCCATTCTTACTTCCTCTTCAGAGAAGTATCTCTTTAAGTCTTTAGCCCACTTATTAATCGGGCAGTTGTTTCTTTGAGGATTTGTTGTTGGGGGATATAATTTTTTGAGTTCTAAGTATAATTTAGATATGAGACCCAAGACAAGGATGTCCACTCTCTCCACTTCTCTTCAATTTAGTATTAGAATGCCTAGCAAGAGCAATAAAACAAGATGCAAACATAAAGGGGATCCAAATAAGGAAAGATGAAGTAAAACTCTCCCTCCTTGCAATTGACATGATCTTGTATTTAAAGAGTCCCATGGACTCCACTCCCAAGTTACTTGAGCTGATTCAAAGTAGCAGGATACAAAATCAACCCTCAAAAATCAATGGTTTTCCTGTATGCCAATAATGAGAAGCTCGTGGCTATAATCAGGAAAGCAACTCTTTGTGTAATAGACCCACAAAAAATAAAATGCCTAGGAGTTGAGTTAACTAAAGAAGTGAAGTACCTTTATGATGAAAACTTTAAAATCCTGAAAAAAGAAATTAAAGCAGAACTAAGGAAGTGGAAAAACCTGCCATGCTCTTGGATTGGGAGGATTAATATTGTGAAAATGGCAATACTGCCAAAGGCTATCTACAAATTCAATGAGATACCTATCAATATCCCAATATCTCATTCTTCAAGGAAATAGAAAAAACAATAAAAAAATTCACATGGAACAATAAAAGAGCCAAATAGCAAAAACAATCCTTAGCAGAAATCGGCCATTTACTTTTTTATTTACGTTTTTCTTTCAGTCCTGGGGATTGACCCCAAGGCTTTGTCCTTGCTAGGTAAACACTCTACCACTTGATTCATGATTTCCTTTTCCACCTTTAAAGAAGTTTGTTTCTGAGATCGGGTCACATGAACTTTTCCTAAACTGGCCTTGACCTCTTCTGTTTCTTTTCTTTTCTTTTGTCAGTCATGGGGCTTGAACTCTGGGCCTGGGCACTATCCCTCAGCTCTTCAGCTCAAGGTGAGTGCTCTACCACTTGAGCCACGGCTCTACTTCTGATTTTCTAGTGGTTTATTGGAGATAAGAGTCTCACAGACTTTCCTGCCTGGGCTGGCTTTGAACCATGATCCTCAGATCTCAAGCCTCCTCAGTAGCTAGGATTACAGGAGTGAGCCACCGGTGCCAGGCAATCTACTGCTTCTTGAGTAGTCATTTACTATTTGCTTGGGTTGAGTTATGTGGGATGCTTCTACACACTAATGTTTTTTCTTTGTCAAACTTCTAAGCAAATGCCTTCTTGTTTCCATTCCCTTCCTTCCCACTTCTTTCTTTTTTTTTTTTTTACCTTAACAATTGGTCCTCCAGGCCTGATTTTGTTACAGTGAAATTGATGATGGTGACTTTAATGCATACCTGGAAGAGAAGTATAGAAATGCTTAAATGCACACTGATAAAACAAGTAGTGCTTTCTTTATTGGAACATGGCTCATCATTATCCAGAGACTGCATTGCAGTCTGACTGTGCATGCACTTCAACACTCTAAGCATGATGTGCCTTTCAAATTCTATAAGACTTCCGTGGCACAGTACCATGAGGCAGGGGCCTTGGTCTGCTTTTTGTCTGGGTGAGCCAGGGCCTGAGTTCCAACTAGACAGTGAGGAGAGGGTGATTGGAGACTACAGGGGCAAGGGGTCCTACAAAGAAGGAAGAAGGAGAATGGCAGGCATTGTTAACTCCTTTCCCCAGGGGGAGAGCCACCACACAAAAATCTGACTGGCAGCCCATACCTCAGGCAGATAATGGGGATTTGACATCTTGGTGGTCATATAGAACCGGAAGTTCTTATCGTAATCAATGTCTGAGTCTCCAAGACGAATGAGTAGTCGCCCACCACTGATGAACGTTTGTTTCAAAAGAACGGGTTCTAGAGCTGGATCCAGGGTTTCTCTGAGCTTAAAAACGGAAACAAAACAAAACAATGAAAACAAAGAAGAATTAAAATGCATAGCATAAAACTCAAAATTCCTTAAAGGACCTCAAAATTTACTTTAAGCATTTTTTAAAACCACATTTTATCTAGATATCTATGTGTCTATCTCACTGTCTTCATACTACTTCCAACAGTGTGTATTTGCCAATGATTATATTACCAACAATCTAAGGACATAAGAACAGATGAAGCAAGTGCATTTATTTAGACTAATCCTGTACACTATTCACCCCTATAGGAAATAGGCTAAGAAAGGACCGGCTAGGGAGCATTGCTACCCCTCAATAGTACCCGTACAAGTCAGGGCCTGTCTATTTTATGGTTATTCTAAGGGACTGGCAAACTATATCTTGAAACCAAACTTCTGAGCTGAGAGTTAAAAAAAAACTGTTTCAAAGGATTATAGAAACAACCCCCCCAGCTAAATAATATTAAAATAATACGAAGAAATATCTGCACAAAAAGTTTAAAACAACCAATTTTCTAACGTTTAAGGCTCACAATGAGCCCTATGAATTAGCAGTGTTAGAAAGCTTACAATGACCCTGTTAACACCAAAACGCTGCCTGAAAGTGAAAAATTCATTAACAAACAAAGTACTTCTTATATGAGAATGTACTATTATATAAAGAGCAAACCAATGGCCAGCTTATTTCTGTTGAGGTGAAATCTCATGTACTTTCACTGCTGAGCTGGCCCAGAACTGTAATCCTCCCAATCTTAGCCTCCTACGTAGCTTAAGAAGATTGGTGTATACCACTGCACCCAGGTATGGACTGAGAAAGGGTCTGGCCCTGAACTTCTATCCTCCCATTTTCAGCCTCTCAAGTAGCTAGGATTACAGATGTGAGCCATTGGTACCAGGCTTGATTTATGCCACTTGTATTGTGCGGTTGTGGTCTGTGTAGAATTCCAGATGTGATCTGAGAGCTTGGGAACTAGAGTAAGAAAAGGAAGTGAAAGGCAAACCTCTTCTAGTAAGACAGGTAAACCAAGTCGGATGGAATTTTCAAGTAATCGCAAGAAATTAGTATCTGTAAGTTTAATGATCTTTAACCCATTTTTGCTTTCCTTGTTCCTTATCCAGCGATTGGCCTATATAAGAGAGCACAAAGGGACATTTTATCAAAAAGTTTAGAAGTTTTGTGCAATCTAGAAGCACACTGGAGACTTAAAAAATGACAAAATAAAATGATCTCTTATTCAATACATTTAAGTTTAATGTTTAGAAAGAGTCCTCCTTTAGTTCAAATTTAAAACAAATAAAGAAAAGGGTCACCTGGAAAAAGCCCATGCTTCTGGCATTCAAGGTTGTCTCTTGAGCTTTCACAATGGCTCCCCTTTCCAGTTCCTACTTAGTCTAATCTGATACATGGACTTAGGGGAACAAGATGAGAGTCTGTAAATTCCAAGCAAGCTCACCCTAAATTCTATCATATGAGGACTTCCCTTTGACTCTTTAGGAGCAAGGACTCTGTAAGGATGAATTTCTGCCAATTTTTTCCTGAATAGCAGCGAATAAATGGTCGGCCCCCTAAACAAACCAATCAAAATCAAGCATGGACAACACTTAAATATGTTTTTTCTTGCCAGGTGCCAGTGGCTCATGTCTGTAATTCTAACTACTCAGGAGGGTGAGAGGTGAAGATCATGATTCAAAGCCAGCTGGGTAAAAAACGTCTGTGAGACTGATCTCCAATTAATTACCTCACAAAAAAGCCAGAAATGGAGCTGTGGCTCAGGTGGTAGAATGCTAGCCATGAGCATAAAAGCTTAGGGACAGCACCCAGGCCTTGAGTTCAAACTCTAAGACAAGCACGCAACAAACAAACAAACCAGTTCTTTCCTATTTCCTATATCCACTAGCTGGCTTCTAAACTCTCTCTCTCTAGGTCTAAATTTCCATAATGTTACAAAGATAAATCTTGCAATTCATGAGAGACAGACCAATATTAAGCAGGTTGAATTGGCTGCTAATCACAAGCATTTGTTACACACCTGATCCTGGGGGTCAATCATCAGCGGCCATCGTCTCCCTTGAGTAACCAAAATGCCATTTTCTGTTGATGTCACATCGCGAGGCAGTCCATCCGTGTTCCATTGCCTTATTTCATAGGGATCTCCAAGGATGTTAATGAGACTGAAGGAAGGGTCAATTGGGATCTCCAGTTCCTGGCAGTACGCAATCCAGCATTCTATAAGCTATACAAAGAGGGAAGCTTGTGCGTATATAGTGAGGGCATACACTAAATGTAGGCCCTCAATAAGTGAGGGCCTACACTAAGTGGTATGCAGGAAAAAGCCAGTTGCTGGAAGAACTGGATTGTACCAGTCTCTGCAGGTTCTTGCCATCAAACAATAAGGTACAAAAGTCGATTAAAAATCTGGAGACCTGGTACTAGAACTATGCCATTAACTAAGACTTTGGGTATGTCACTCCCTTTGTCTGAACTTCAGTTTCTTCATGTGAAAATGACCGGGCTGTCACAGTGATTTTCAAACCTAGGTGTAGTGCCCCTTTTGGGAGAGTCTTGGGGACATGTGGAGAAGTCTGGGGTTTATATGCTACTAGAATCAGTAGTTGGAAAGAGGGAGATTAGCTTCTTGTTTCCTTCCTGGAAAAGTACAGTCATTCAGAGCACTGTCTGTCCCACTCCCTGCCCCAGTGAGAAACATGGCTGAACTGGACTGGAGCTCTTGCAGAGTCTTGATGAACCTATCAGCAGGTTTTATAACTCAAGGATGCAGGCAAGAATGTTTCAGGAAGTCATTTTATCAAAGCAACTATACAACCCTTTCCCATTATTTAGTTCCCTGGAGAGTGTATATAGATGGGAACTTCTATTCTCTGATAGAAGGAAAGTTTTGGGGTTGGAGGTATAGCTCAGTTGATAGAGTGCTAACCAATAAACAAAAGCATCAGGTACTAAATTAATGTTCCAGTGTCGGACCAAAAAAAAAAAAAGAAGAAGAAACTTTTTTTGTTTTAAAGATAGATATAGTAGTTGGGAATGTGGCTCAGGGGTAGAGTGCTTGCCTAGTATGCATGAAACTCTGGGTTCGATTCCTCAGTACCACATAATCAGAAAAAGCTGGAAATGGCTCTGTCTCATGTGGTAGAGTACTAGCCATGAACTGGGACAGTACCCAGCCCCTGAGTTCAAGCCCCAACACTTCCCCTTCCCCAGAAAAAAAAAGATATAGTGAGGGAAAAACTGGCAGGACGCAAGGGAAATGGTGACATTGTTAAAAAATAATTGTATTCTTTACCTAACTTATGTAACTCTAACCCCTTTTACATCACTTTAATTATAATGATAAAAATATTAAGGAAAATAGAGATAGCTAAAAGAGCACAAGAAACCACAGATTCATCCTGTCTTATTCCTCCCCATTCCCAGACCTCTGTAGGAATCTTAGCACTTTAGAACTTTTCATCCTTGTTGATTTGACCTCCACTTCTGACCCTCAGGGCAGGGCCTTACAGTTTCCTGTCCACTCTCAGGTTCTTGTGTTATGTGAGTGATAACCCACTCAACTTTCTAAGGCAGAAGAAAAGGGAGGAACATTTTAAGAAAGGAGTAGCCTATCACTAGTCAATGAAAGAGGAGGAGGGTTGTAGAATATATATGTTTGTATGTGTATATACATTATATAAAAATGTAAGTATATATAAAGCATATGCACATGCATATGATATAATACTAATAACAATATAATATGTATATGAACACATATGACATGTATGTACATACGTATACATATATTCATATACATATATTTATGCCTACATGCACATATATTTATATATACATGATACAAATGTGTATATTTATATATATACATTATATATTTATATACACACAACTTTCCATCCTGGTGAACCACCATAGTGGAAGGCCTCCATCTGAGCTCAGAAAAATGAGTCTCTGCCCTCAACATATCTCTTTCTTATCACTCTTTAGGGAAAGTGTTTTCTTACCGATTGCCTATACTGGGCCGTGAAAGCCCCATAATAAGCCACACAAGCTGCAGCTATGAACACATTCCCAATGATGTTTGATAGTTCCTCCTCATATTTTTGTATGCTTTCTTCCCATCGGACCTGCTCATCTCCTAATGCAGCTGTCAGTTTTCCAGCACGTATTAGACGAGCATTTGTCAGGGCCATGTTTTTTGCTAGAAAAATTTAAGAACATCAGGTCATGTTGGTATTTTCCTCAAATATTACAAGTTTATCTACCTGCTCTGGTTTGTAGCAGATACATCTCTATGAAACTCCACAACATTTTAGCTATTTCTCATTTTAAGTAAGTTTGCCTCTTTCATGCCAACTGTTCTTTTGAATATATCATTACATTGGCTGGAAGTAGTGTTCTCTGTGGCTCTGTGGTATGTATTTTCTAGATCACATTAATCTGTTGCTTGGAGTTATAAATGCAACATGCTTCAAGAAGTCTTGATCAGGTAGAAGATGCTGAATATACACAGTATGTGTAGTGTTTGCCATTTGATAGGTTAGTGGAAGAAGTCCAGTGAAAATAAGTCAGATAAAAACAGACATCTGGGGGCTGGGAAGGTGGCTCAGTGGTCAAGTGGGTTTGATTCCTCAGGGCCAAAGAAGCAGAAAAAGCTGTAAGTGGTGCTGTGGCTCAAGTGGTAGAGTGCTAGCCTTGAGCTGAAGAGCTGAGGGACAGTGCCCAGGACCAGAGTTCAGGCCCCATGACTGACAACCCTCCACCCCCAAAAAACAAAATAAAACAAAACAAAAAACCCAGACATCTGCCTGCCTGATAATTTTTCTAACTTTTGAAATCAAGCCTTTTCTGCTAATGTATTTTCTATGAGTTCCTTACCTAAATTTTCTTTTTCATTTATACTTTTGTCATATTTGTCTTGTAAGGCTTGTATTTGATCCTCTACTTGTTTTAGCAATGCTTGTTTTTCTTTCAGAGTAGCCATTGTAATATCAAGTTCAGCCTGATAAAATAAAGCAAGTATATATATATATATATATGTATGTATAGGTATATATATGTATGTATATATATATATATGAGCTCTATGTGGAGTCTCTTGAAGAACCTCCATACTACTTTCCAAAGTGGTTCCAGCAATCCCACTTTTGGGCACTTACCCAATGATCACAAACAAAGTATATTAAAGCTACCAGCACAAGTATATTTATCGCAGCATTATTTACCATGCCTAAAATATGGAACCAACCCAGATGTCTCTCAGTAGATGAATGGATCAAGAAAATGTGATACACACACACACACACACACACACACACACACACACACACACACGCAAAATGGAATACTCCATCAGAAAAATGACACCGCCTCATTTGTTATGAAATGGAAAGACTTGGAAAAAATTATATTAAATGAAGTAAGCCAGGCCCAAAGAAACAGAGGTCCTATGGTTTCCTTTATTTGCAATAATTAGTATATGTTCAGGATAAGCAGAAAAGGTCAAAAGCTATGTACATATGACCATATAAGATGATATTAAGCAAAATGAACCCCGAGATAGGGACACAGTGTTTTTTTTCTCTTTTGCTATTGTTTTTAACATATTTATAATGTACTATGTGATGCCCTGCATTTTGTATATACGTTTTCCTAATTTGGGGAGGGGAAGGGAAATAACAAAATGCTTAAATAGGGATACAGGTTGACCCATTGTAACAATGAGATGTATAAGACACTATGTTGAAAACAAACTTTACAACTTTGGTGGGGGTGGGGTGGGGCAGGGAGGAGTTGGGGAGGTAAGAAGGGAAGGGATGGTAGGGGAAAAACAAAGGAGGAGATAACAATGCACAATAGGAAATGTACTTGTTACCCTACTCATGTAACTTAACCCCTTTGTACAGTATTTTTACAATAAAAAACATATAAAAATAAAAAATTATGTTCTCTTTTACATGTTGAAGAATAATTTGATGTACTATCAAAGATACAAAGATACAAGGGAGTAAAATATAAATAAAAAGTAAATAAAACAAAATTAAAACACAAATTATAAAATGAAGCAGATTTATTGAACATTCAAGACAAATTATTTGCCACAATGGACTACTAATTTTTTTCTTTTTGGCAATAGAATTTGAACTCAGTGGCTTATAATCACTAGACAGGTGCTCTTACCACAGAGCTACACCCATAACCCACAGATTTTTAATTTTAAATAATGAAACTAATTATTCATACAATAATGGAAACTAAGTTTTCTACATTTTTTTTTGGTTCCAATCCTGAGGCTTGACTTTGGGGCCTGGGCACTGCCCCTGATCTTTTTTGCTCAAGGCTAGTGCTCCAACACTTGAATCACAGCTCCACTTCCAGCCTTTTGGTGGTTAATTGGAGATATGAGTCTCATGGACTTTCCTGATCTGGGTGGTTTTGAATTGTGATACTCAGATCTCAGTCTTCTGAGTAACTAGGATTGCTAGGATTATAGGAGCCTAGCCCTAACTAATTTTTTGTTTTGTTTTGTTTTTCGTTTTTGGTGCCAGTCCTGGGGCTTGAACTCAGGGCCTAGGCAGCACTGTCCTTGGGCTTTTTTTTTCTCTTTTTCCCTCAAGTCTAGTGCTATAACACTTGAGTCATAGCTCACTTCTGTTTATTTTTTTTTGGGGGGGTAGTTTATTGGAGATAAATATTTCACAGGCTTTCCTGCCAGGCTGGCTTAAAACTGCTATCCTCATATCTCAGTCTGTAGAGTAGTTAGGATTAAAGGCGTGGGCCACTGGGATTTGGCTTTGGAGTTTTTATGTCCTGCAAAGATTGGGGGAAAAAAATCAAAAGAAGATTATTTGGTGGCATGGGCTTCATGTGTGAAATATGAATTTCAGCCTCCATAAATAAAGTTATACTGGAATATAGCCATGCTTATTCATTTATGTATTGTCAATGGCTGTCTTTGTGGAGTGGTAACAGAGTTGAATACATGTAAGAGACACTGTGTAGCTTCAATGCTTAAAACTACAATCTGGAGCTTTATAGACAAATAGTACATAACCCTGATATATATCTGCAGGTTTTTGTAACCTGTTTCACTCAAAGATCATTCTTTGTTCTTCTTGTGAAGAGCAAGTACTTTGTGTCTATTGTAGGGCCATCTGGCTCTTAGACCTCAGATGATACCAAAGCTAGATCATCAGCTGCTGCTGCTACCAGGTACTTAAAAAATGCCATCGGAAGCTGGGCGCTGGTGGCTCACGCCTGTAATCCTAGCTACTAAGAAGGCTGAGATCTGAGGATTGCTGTTTGAAGCCAATCTGAGCAGAAAAGTCCCCATGAGACTCTTATCTCCAATAAATTACCCAAAAAAAGCCAGAAGTGGTGCTGTGGCTCAAGTGGTAGAGTGCTATCCTTGAGCACAAAGAAGCTCAGGAACAGTATCTAGCCCTGAGTTCAAGTTCCTGGACTGGCAAACAAAACAACACACACACACACACACACACACACACACACACACACACACACCAAACAACCCCCCACTACCCAAAAACAAAGAACCCAAAACTCCATAGGTTCAGTTCCCTTTTTTTCAGATGAGTAAATGCAGAAACATTTTTGTTTTATGTTGGATAAAGGATGATTCCAGAGGAAATCACTAAACAAACAAAAAACTTTGCCAGTTACTGTTTAAAACAAAGCTGAAAGGCTGTGATGTAGCTCAGTGGTAAAGCTCTTGCCTAGCAAGTACAACATCCGGGTTTGATCCTCAGTACCAAAAAAAGAAAGACAAAAATAAGAACAATTAAATATGCTCCCCCCCAAAACCTCTAAAAAAAAACCCCTTCAAACATTTAAACTGGGCACTGGTGGCTCACCCCTGTAAACCTAGCTACTCAGGAAGCTGAGATCTGAGGATCATGGTTTGAAGCCAGCCTAGGAAGAAAAGTCCCCATAAGACTTTTATCTCCCAATTAACCCCTCAAAAAACGGGAAGTGGAGCTGTGGCTTAAAGTGAGAGTGCTATGCCTTGAGCAAAAGAGCTCAGGGACAGTGCCCAGGCCCTGAGTTCAAGCCTTATGACCGATAAAACCTCCCAAAAAGCCACCAACAAAAGAACTAATTTTCAAGAATATTGTCACCATCTCTATTGAATAGGAACATGGTGATACTATTCAGAGTATGAATGATTGATGATCACAACCCTTATTTCTATAAAATAACACAACATGGGTAACATACCTGTGCAGCTCGAAGTTTTTGTCTCTTTGGTTCGACCACCTTGACTACTCGTGAGTACAAATCCATTGCTCGTACCCACATACACATTGACTTACATGCTTTGGACACTTTCTCTACTTTTTCAGGCACAAAGTCAGGATTGTTAATATATTTCTGAAGCTTTGTCAAGACCTGAGGCTTTATGTTTTCCTTGTCATAGTCTAAAAGCCTTTTCAGAAAGTTAGAGTCCCCAAGAAGTTGCTTTGCTGTTGGCCAATCAGGTCTGAAAGACAGAAATCCTAAATTAATAACATTGTAATCAAGAAATATAAAACATAGCAGATATATTCCTCTGAGAACATTATATGACTCCCGTATGTGGGTAGTTTAATCTCAGTAACAGTAATAACTGTTAGCTATGCACACAGTTATCATAGGGAGAAAGTAATTGGATGATTAAGATTCCATACAACTCAAATTTGGTAGACAAAATGATAAAATAATAGAGTTCTGGAAAACGTAAGCCATTATAGGAAAAAAAAAACAGTTTTAATTCAAAACTGGCCTAGGCACACATTTTATCTCATTTGCCTTAGTTTTCTAGCTGGGATTTATATTTTTTATGGTCAGCCTTGCTCTTTGGAGTTTGTTATCACATTGATCTCTATATTATGTAAATCTGACTAGGTAAAAAATATTCAATGGGGGGCTGGGAAGGTGGCTCAGTGGTAGAGTGCTTGCCTTGCATGCCTGAGGCCCTGAGTTCGATTCCTCAGCACCACATAAGCAAAAAAAAATATTCAATGGTTTAAAAACTCCTCTGCCTACAGAGGCTTTTATCTGTGCCCTGCAGAGGTTTTCCTGAAGAAGGTGCTTGTCTGAGGGACAAGTGATAGAGTACATCAGGTCATTTGCTAAGTTTAACATAAAAGGTATGTTATTTTTTACTACTACTACTACTATTCTTATTTTGTGTTGGGATTAAGGCTTCTATTCATGGCCTGGGTGCTGTGCCTTAGCTTTGTTTGCTCAAGGCTGGCACTTTTCTGCTTGAGCCACATCTTCACTTCTGGCTTTTTGGTGATTACTTGGAGATAGGAGTTGCATGGACTTTCCTGCCTGGGCTGGCTTCAAATCCCTGATCTTCAGATGTTAACCTCCTGAGTGGCCAGGATTACAGGCATGAATCACTGGCACATGGCCTATACAATAATTTTTTTATTAAAAAAAGAATTCTGTTGCCAATAAATGTTTGGAAGGTACATATCTTCAAGATGAAATCTGAACTGTGATGCAGCACACCTGATCTTCCAGGATTGTAATCACTGCCCTGATCAGTTCCCTCCCATTCTGTGAACATCACGGCTCTCTGAGCTCTCCCCATGGTCCAAGCACCAGCTGAGCATCTTCTTCTGAGAAACCTACATATACCTCTCCATTAAATGTACATCCTGTGGAGAAAGACTCTAATCTTTATGTCTTTCATGATCTAGAATAAAGTAGAATTTGAAAAAAAAAAGCCTACTGAATCAGTTTGAATCAATTTAGTGAATGATTAAATTGGAGGAATGTTGGAGAGGAGAATGAACGTGTGTGTGTGTGTGTGTGTGTGTGTGTGTGTTTGTGTGTGTTGTCTGTTAAAAATGGTGGCCTATAATCCTAGGTAGTCAAAAAGCTGATGTCTGAGGATCACGGTTCAAAGTCCGTCTGGGCAGGAAAGTCTGTGATACTCTTATCTACAATAAACCACTCAGAAAACTGGAAGTGGGACTGTGGCTCAAATGGTAGAGAGCTCGCCTTGAGCTGAAGAACTGAGGGACAGTGCCCACGCCCAGAGTTCAAGCCCCAAAACTGACCAAAAAAAAAAAAAGGAGAAAAAAATAAACCAGCAAAAAAGTCCCACCTGATAGTCTGGTGACAGGTGACTGAGTGTTACTCACCTGGTGACAGGTGACTGAGTGTTACTCACCTGGTGACAGGTGACTGAGTGTTACTCACCTGGTGACAGGTGACTGAGTGTTACTCACCTGGTGACAGGTGACTGAGTGTTACTCACTTGGCATTTAAGAGAATGGAGATCGCTTCCATCACAGTCATGACCAAATCTGGGGGCTTTGTAAAAACCCGGATTTCAGATATATCTGCCTTGTCTAAGGAATCCAGTGCTTTATTGGCAGCATCAAGGGCAGGCAGGGCTTCTTCCAGATCTCTTTGAGCATCATCTGCTATGGCTTGGGTTTCTTCAGCTTTCACTTTTGCTTTTGCTTGATCTTCTTGCACAACATTACGGACCTAACCATTGAAATATGATTGCTTAAGTGATCTCAGAGGATGAGCATCCATAATCCAGTAAATCAAAATTGGAAAGGTTTTGAGTGCCAAAATGATTTTCCATATGGAACATTCTACACTTGATCTCATATGATAGGCCATAGGCAAAATAGAGGGCAGGTGTACTAAAAATACTGTCTAAAATTGTATTCAGGCTATGCCATGTATATAAAGTATATATGAAGATGAATGAATTTTGTGTGTGGACTTGGGTCCTAGGTTCAAAATATCTCATCATACATGCAAATATTCCCAAATCCCAAATCCAAAGTATCCCCAAGTATTTTGGGTAAGAAAGACTCAACCTGTATTTGAATTTCACTGTTTGAAAATAAAGCCAATAATAATGAGTTGTATTTTCTCTTTAGGTTAGACCAGTGATAAAAGAGAATTAGTAAGATTGCATTTTATGCTCTTTGTCCATCTCATGCCATGTCAATAAGTAATAGAGATAAAATTAAAACAAGAGTTTCCTCCTTAGGAGAGAAACAGTTGCTTTATATTTGCAGGTAGTAAGATCCTCAAATCTTAGTCTCTTGAATAGATAGGATTACAGGTATGAGCCACCAGTGCCTAAAAGAGGCACTAAAGAGAGGTTGTTTACAATTAAAAATCATTTCTAAGCCAGGTGTTGTGTAACACACATGTAATAGCAGAAATCTCAAGTCTGAGATAGAAGAATCTTGAATTTAAGGCCAGCTTAGGCTAGCTAGTGAAATCTTCCTTAAAAAAACAAGCTTCATGCAATCCCATTTGTCCAATCTTTCTTTGATTTGTTGTATTTCTGGGTCGCTATTAAGAACATCTCGGCTTGTGCCAAGAAGACCTAGGTTTTCTCCTATTCTGCCCTGTAATGTTTTCAGGGTGTCTGCTTTGACTCCAAGGTCTTTGATCCATATGGAGTTGATTCTGGTGCAGGGTGATATATAAGGATCTAGCTTTAGTTTTAGTTTCTGCATGGCAAAGGACATAGCTAGCAAGATCAATAGAAAGCTCACAGATTGGGAGAAGATCTTCACTAGCCATACAACAGATAAGGGTCTCATATCTAAAATATACCTGGAACTCAAAAAATTAAATCCCCCAACAACAAATCCTCAAAGAAATAACTGCCCAATAAATAAGTGGGCTAAAGACTTAAAGAGAAACTTCTCTGAAGAGGAAATAAGAGTGGCCAATAGGCACATGAGGAAATGCTCAACCTCTCTAGCCATAAAAGAAATGCAAATCAAAACAACATGGAGATACCACCTCACCCCAGTTAAAATGGCTATAATCAAGAATTCTAATAACAACAGATGCCGGAGGGGATGTGGTCAGAAGGGAACCTTATTGCATTGTTGGTGGGAGTGTAAACTTGTTCAAGCACTTTGGAAAGTAGTATGGAGGTTCCTCAAAAGACTCCACAGAGAGCTCCCCTATTACCCAGCAAACCCACTTTTGGACATTTACCCAAATGATCACAAACAAGACCATACTAAAGCTACCAGCACAACTCTGTTTATCACAGCATTATTTACGATAGCTAAGATATGGAACCAACCCGGATGCCCCTCAGTAGATGAATGGATCAAGAAAATGTGATATATGTATGTATGTATGTATGTGTATATATATATACATATATATGTATATATATGAATTCTATGCCTCCATCAGAAAGAATGACATTGTCCCATTTGTTAGGAAATGGAAAGACTTAGAAAAAATTATATTAAGTGAAGTAAGTCAGGCCCAAAGAAACATAGGCCCCATGGTTTCCCTTATTTGCAATAACTAGTATATGTCTGCGACAAGCAGAAAAGTTCAAAAGCTATATACATAGGACTAGATAATATGAAATTAGGTGAAATGAACCCCAAGATAGGGACACAAGTGGTTTTTTCTAGGGAAACAAATGGTTGTGTCTAACGTATTTATAAGGTACCATGTGATTTTTTTTGTTGCTTTGTATGTCCCTCCCCCATTGTATAACCCCTGTTTTCACTGTATTTAATGTTGGTATAATTTGGGGAGGGGAAGGGAAAAAACAAAATGTTTAAATAGGGATACAGGTGGATGCATTGCAACAATGAGATGTAGAAGACACTACGTTGAAAAACAAACTTTACAATTTAGGCGGGGATGGGGGGCGGGGAGAGGGGGGAATGTAGTTGTGGAGGTGGGAGGGAAAGGATGATAGGGGAAAAACAAAGGAGGAGGCAACAATGCTTGATAAGAAATGTACTCATTACCTTGCTCATGTAACTGTAACCCCTTTGTACAGTATTTTCACAATAAAAAGAACTTATTAAAAACATTATATTGAGGAAAAACAAAACAAAACGAAAACCAAACAAAAGCCTCCAAAACTCTAAAAAAACCCAAAGCATTGCTTTAAAATAACATCAATAAGTTTATCATTTGTAAGTAGAACTGTAGCTCAAGGGGTAGAACACTAGTCTTGAGCGAAAAAGCTCAGGAACAGCACACAGGACTGGCATAAAAATTATCACTCAATTATTTTTAAGAAATGTATGGTAAAACACCAGGTGCTGGTGGCTCACCCTTATAATTCTAGCTATTCAAAAGGCTGAGATCAGAGGACTGTGGTTCTAAGCCAGCCTGGGCAGAAAAGTGTGAGACTCTCATCTCCAATAAACCACTCGGAAAACAATGGAAGTAGTGCTGTGGTTCAAGTGGTAGAGTGCTAGCCTTGGGCACAAAGAAGCTCATGGACAGCACCAGGCCCTGAGTTCAAGCCCTAGGACCACCACCACCACTACCAACAACAACAAAATATATATGTACACACACATAATTAAACAATCTGATCATATATGAGTTTATGTAAGTGATCAATGGCTGAATAAAGCCCCATGCATACCATCAGATTATGTGGCATACCTGATCAGCGCTTTCTTGATCCAAAGCCAATTTTTCCATTAGAGCTTCAACATCTTGGGATTTTGCTATTAGCACAGGTTCTAAAGCGGAAAGATCTAATTTCATTCTATCTACTAGCACATTTGTTTCTAATAGCTTGGAGAGACCATTTTTCACCCGATCTTTTGCCTAAATGACAACAAAAAATTTCTATTGTAAGAGCATTATAAATTGTAAGTTTATTGGCATTTATTACTCATCTATTAGATTGACAGAACTAGCAAATTAATTTGTAACACTTCAAGTTGTGTACATATTGCAAGTTGAGAGTAATTTTCAGGTAAAACAATCTAGGAAGTGATCATGTCTTTCCTGATGATAGCATGAGGAATTAATGAATGAATGAGGGAGGGCCATTGAACAAGCTGAGGCAGCAATCTCTGGTGCCCACAGCTGAGGGATCCTGTTTACTTATGATGAGCCTGGAGAAACTGGGTACTGGGCATTTAGCTGTGTTTTGCTGAATCTGAGCCCTACATTCCAGTACTGAAGTTCTTTAATTATTTTGTTCTGGTGCTTGACTCAGGTCCTAAGTGTTGTCTTGAACTTTTTTTCCCCTCCAAGGCTAGCACTTGGGCCACAGCTCCACTTCTGGCTTTATTTATTTATTTATTTTTGATAGTTAATTGGAGATAAGAGTCTCATGAATTTTCCTGCCTCAGATCTCAGCCTCCTGAGTAGCTAGGATAACAGGTGTGAGCCACTGACTGGTGTTTGGCAAAATTTTTGATTAGGAACAAAGGAACTATACCAAAAGAGTTGTTTACTTTTGTGGTTTAAATTGGCCAGTTAAAAATTATTGATTTTACAGTGTTGCTTTAAAAGAAAAACAAGTTGTTTGTTTAAGAATCATAGGCTGACTCAGGAACCCACAGTTTACCTGAAAAACACACTGATCGATCTCCCAGACACATAGGTAGTTGTGAAACAACTGATAATGAAATTTTTGTTAAATGATTTATTTTTCTGAAATAAAAGTAGCCTGTTTCCTGAACTTGTTCTTTAGTGCTCAGTAGAGTATTTTCTGTGTTCTAGCTATCAGCCTTAAGTAGTACTCAAATGGTAACCAGGACTCTAACAAAGTCCCTAGAACCACTGCAAAATAGATTTTGTTGTTCAATTATACACACATTATATATACTAAATATATATGTATTATTTTTTTTAATTTTTGGGTCCGGTTGTGGGGCCTGAACTCTGGGCCTGGGCACTGTCCCTCAGTTCTTCAGCTCAAGGCTAGTGCTTTACCACTTGAGTCACAACGTCACTTCCAGGTTTTTTCTTTTTGCTTATGTGGTACTGAGAAATTGAACCCAGGGCCTCAGGCATGCAGGGCAAGTGCTCTACCACTGAGCCAACTTCCCAGCCCCTATATATGTATTCTTTACCTAACATCATCAGACATTGTATTTACTAAGTATATAAAACAAAAATTACAAAGGAATAAAGTAGTTGATTTCAATATACATATTAAAAATCAAATCAAGCAGAGAAATCAAAGTAATTAAACAGAACAAATAATACCATCAAGAAAATCTGTCATTAGCAATTGACAGAATCTTATATCCTGTAATAGATCATATAATTTAAAAATGTCTAGAATTTTCACAAATATTGATCATGTATTTAGTCAAAAAGTTTTAAAGGCAAAAGTGATACGTGTTCACTTAGAGCCAAATAATTAAAAACTTAGAGCACATTGTAAAATGTGCTCAGATGAAAATGATAGCTTTAAGGCTATCATTATTAAAGAAGAGTAAAAAGTGCTGGTATCTCTAATTTACCGTGAAAATTTTAATATCCTATAAGTCAGGGTGTATTAAAAACAAAATGTAAAACTTACAAAATTGAAAATAAACAAAAAAGATAAGAGTCCATAAACCTGGAAGCTGGGTGTTTGAAAGCATATAATAAATAAAAATACTGATTATTTTATAAGGCATACGTATCATGAGGTAAAACTCCTCTGAAAAACATTTTGAGTATCCAAACCATAATGCTGTTACTATTTCAGTTTAGAATGTCTGCTTATGTGCACAGTGCATCTTGATCAGTGTCATCCTGCCATCGTTCTTCCCCTCTCCCATTTATCCTATCCCCAGCCATCTCCTCAAGTCTCCTAGTTCCATTTTCACATATGTGCAATAAGTATAATGACTGTATTCACCCATCATCCCTTTCTTCATTCATCTCTTTCCCTCCTCTTACGCTCTACCCCGCTCAGACAAACATGCTCATGTCAGCTTCCTGCTATTAATTTCATTAATCTGTCAGGTAATTGTTCAAAGGGATTTTTACCATGGGATCTTACTCCTGCATATACCACACTCTAATCAGTTTGATAGTGTATTTATATCTGTATAGCCCTGCATGTGTTTACCTGTATGTTTATATTTTAGGTCTAACATCCAAGTATGAGAGAAATGTGCTCTTCATCTTTCTGAGCCTAGCTTACTTTATTCAACATCATTGTTTTCCAGATTCATCCATTTTCCTGCAGATGGTGTTATATTATTTTTCCTGATGGATGAATAAGATTTAGTTATATGTGTATATATGTATGTGTGTATACCAAAATGTTGAAATTTTAGCTCATGTTAATAACCTGATGATGATGATGATGATGATGATAATGGCAGCTACTAGTTCTTGAGTACCATATATGTATCAGATTGTAGTCTAAATGCTCCACAAACAATTTCTTATTTAAATTCCACAACAATTCAAGAGGGAGTTAGAGATGTTTTTCAAGCTTATTTTTCTCTTAAAGCTTATAGGAAGGAATTCAATACTGTGCTCAAGGTTGTGTCCCAAGAGGCTAAACTTCAGCTATATGTGATTTGTCTTCCACCAAATGCTTTGGGCTTAATGGGAACCATCAGCACTAGAGACCATTTAAAACCTCATTCCTGATGCTTGACAAAGAGTTGCCTCCATATTAAATACTGCAGCACTGACAATGTTGTTTAGTGTTTAATGTTGTTTCAAGGTCTATTCTACCAAGTCAATGATACTTGTGCATTGCTACGCATGTTAATAAGTCAGTGACAGTAAGACATAAATATCTAGAAAGATCCAGAAAGTGTGTAAGATCCTCTAGAATAACAGTGTAAGACTTTTTTTTTTTTTTTTAAATTTGACCCCAGCTTGTCAAGAGTAAAGGTCAGAATGAATCAGGATCTGGAGGCAAAGATAAGGGTATAGGGTTGTTGTTGTTGTTGTTTTCCTACTCCTTCCCAAAAGTTTTGAGTTAAAAAAAAAGAGAAAAACCCAGCCAAGTTTTTCTGGACAATAGTGTATTGAACTTACTGTGACCAACTGCTTCCGTTTCTCAGTGAGCATATACAGGTAGAGGTTGATGAGCTCCAGGTAGGAGGTAGGCGTTGTGTAGTACCGCCGTCGGAGCTCAGCGTAATAGCGTTCTGCTGTCTGGGTGACGCTCAAGTGAACGTTCACGCACATGAGGGAAAGCTTTTCTTTCATTTCTTCACTACCAGTATCGATAGATAAGAAAAATGTCTTTGACACAGAAAGAAGTGCTTCTCTGGGCCACTGCAAACAAAGAAGAAATTCTGTTGGTCATTTCCATCACAAACAGTTTAATAATAAAGAAAACTTTCCCTCCCTTAATCCCTTCTTTCATGTAGGTTACTCCTCCTGTCTCTGGTATTGAGTGAACACAATGGAGTTCTCCGTCGATCAGAGAAGGGCCCAGCTTCATTTGCTGATCCATGCTGGGTCACACGCTTAGAAGCCGTTTTATACTGTTTGTTCGTGGAAGGAATGAGTGGTTGTGTGTCTGTGGAATTCCATGAATGAATCGCAGATGTGGTGCGGACCTCTTGTCCTCACTCTGCACTCTGCTATGCAGCAGCTTCAGCAATGTCATCGGCACTTGGCACACACCTGGCCTCCTTTGTGCCTCTGTTTTCTCACCTTCACCTAACTTAGCCAAATGCAATTCTCTGTGACTCCATGCCTGTAGCAGAACAGCTGAGCATGGCTGTAGAGAAACACACCTCAGGCTGATGGGACCCACTTTCAATTCCTGACCGCCAGCTCCTCTGTGCAGCCCAGAAATGTGTCTCCATTTTCTAATATGCCCGTTTTGTACTCTCTTCAGCGATTGCTTCGTATTCTATTCTATGTCCTCAGACTCCTAATGCTTCTGCTTTCCTCTTTACTTTCATATGATAATTTTGCTTCTCATGCCACGAAAACAAAACAAAACAAAACCCTGGAAGCCAACAGAGCGCGCTGGTGAATTCCTACTGACATGCTTTTTCACTACCTGCCTTGCTGCCTCTTCTCCTGTTACTCAAGGGCAAGCTGTGTCTACTTCCTGCCCAGGGCAGTCCCATCATCTTTGACTGCTTTCCATACATACTACTTACTCAAAGACATTGGTACCAAAATGCTTAATATTATATGCTGTTTTATCCACATATGTTTCTTTTCTAGATCATTTTTTGTCAGTATGAAAACACACATACACATACACATCATATATACCCATTCTGCTTGTAGTTCCCATACAAAAATACTTCTTTCTTGACCTCCTGCATCCCTTTAGCTTTCCTTTGGACAAAATTTCTCAAAATTGTTACCTATAAACCGTGTCTGAATCATTTTCCCTCTTCTCAATTGAACCTTCTTCTGTAACATGGACTAACATAATTCTTGTCAAGATCTCTGACAAACTGGTTGCTGGTGGCTTATGCTTGTAGTCTTAGCTACTCAGGAGGGTGAGATCTGCAGGATTACAGTTCACAGCCCAAACATAAAAGCATACTAGGCTCCATCTCTAAAATAACCAGCAAAAATTTAAGTTGGAGGCATGGCTCAAGTGGTAGAGTGTCATCCAAGCCAGCAAGCCAAACAAGTGAGAATCCCTGAGTCCAAAACCCAGTCATGACTTCCCTCCAAAAAATACCAACAACAAAACTTGTGACAACTTCTGAACTGCTAATTCAGCACACTTCTTCCTTTAAAAATAGTTTTGTTTTTGCCCTATGACTGTCACTGTCACCGTTATCCCTGACATGAGTAACTTCCTAGTAGACTTTAAAGCTAGTTGTGAGTCATTCTCAATTTATTAGCTCTGTAAAATTAGTAAATCTATCTGGGTGCCAGTGACTCATGCTTGTAATCATAGCTACTCAGGAAGCTGGGGTCTGAGTATTGCAGTTTAAAACCAGACTGGGCAGGGACATCCATGAGGTTCTTATCTCTAATTAACCACCAAAAAGCAGAAATGGAGCTGTGGCTCAAGTGGTATAGTACTAGCCTACAGTAAAAAGCTTAGGGATAGTGCTCAGGCTCTGAATTCAAGTCCCAGGACGCTGTCCTCCCCTCCCCCCACCCTCCAAGCAAATCTAACTTCCCAAAGAGATATCCTGGGTATCACTAACCTGGACAAACCAATCGATGGTGCAGCAGTTCACAAGGGATGGAAACATCCGACATCGGGAACGAAAGGCCTCCCCAACTGGGCTCATGCAGAGAACAATGTGTAGCTTCTGACGGACTCTGCTGATAAAGTATTGGAACACCTGAGCAAAAGAACAATATTTTTCAATTAATGACACAGCAACAAAAAGAAGTATCAGCTAATTAAGTAATGAGAACGAGTGTTGACATATATTGGAGGCTGCTGATATTAAATAGCAATAGTAGCATTGATGCGTGAATTGTTCTGCTGGCCATCTGTGCCAAGCTTTGTCTTTCACACAGACTGGAAACACTAAAACCCACATATTGTATGTCCTAATGGATTTTTACAGAACCTGCTAGTATTCTAAATATGATTTAGGCCTTCCTTATTTTTGTATGTGAAGAGATTTCTTGTTGAAAGAGTTGATAGAATTCTAAGTATTTGTGCAAAGGAGTATCATTTCAACATAATGTATGACTGCAGTGCATCTTGACCAATGATACCCCTTCTATCATTCTCCTCCATCTCTTGCTGTCTCTCCTATCTCCTCAGGTTACCTGACTCATTTTTCACATATGTACTTTGAATATTATGAGTGTATTTGTTCACTCTTTCTCCATTCATCTGCCCTTCTTCCCCTTCATCTTCCCCCACCTGACAACACATTTCAGCTTCCTGCTATTTATTTTGTTAAGCTGTAAGCTGTTTGAAGAAGTTATTCCATTGCAATCCTCTATTGTGTCTACCATACTTTAGTCAGTATTTGTGTATATATGTATAAGACCCTGAATATATATTTATATATACTTATAATTTAGATCTAACTCCCACACATGAGAGAAAACATCATAAAGTATAGACATTCATAGCAGGTTTTGCTTGGGTACAGAGGATAATTGAAAGAGAGGGACAGAGTATAGATATCCAATTTGCAGATGCAAAGCCTGGCAGAAGTGACATGGTTCCAGAACTTTTATCTTTGGATGTGGCTTCTTGTTTCATCTGCTCCTGAGTGAGAGAATCTAAATTTATGTTTACATTGGGAATACCTGAACTGATTGGTCAGGGAATCCAACATGCCAGACTAATTTGTCATAGTGATACATGCCTGTAATCCTAGATACTCAAGAAGGCAGAAGTAGGAGGATCACAGTCTAAGATCAGCCTAGTTAAAAGTGTGAGACCCGACCTGAAAGTCAAACTAAAAGCAAAAGGGCTGGGGGTGTGGCTCAAGGGTTAGAATGCTCCTTTGGCTAGTACAAGGCCCTGAATTCAATACCACTACATGGGGAAAAAAAGTACAAGCAGGGCACTGGTAGCTCAGACCTGTAATCTTAGCTACTCAGGAAGCTGAGGTCTGAGGATGGCAGTTTGAAGCCAGCCTGGGCAGGAAAGTATGTGAGACTTTTATCCCCAATTAACCCCCAGGAAACCAGAAGTGGTGCTTTGGCTTAAAAGTGGTAGAGCTCTAGCCTTAAGCAAAAGAGCTCAAGGACAGTGCCTAGTCCCTTAGTTCAAGCCCCACAACGAACGCTCCTCCCTCCCCCACAAAAAAAGTACTAGACTCATGCCTACAGCTCCACTCAAGTAGGACACTGCAACGTGTGAAATAAACTTGTACTTGAAGGACAAGAGAAGCTGGCCAGTTTGGACAGGACGAGGACCTCTATAAGGCAGCAGTAAGGAGGGTCTCCACTTCTATGCAAATATTTGGAGGTCTAGAAACAACACTTTAAACATAGAAAAGAAAGCATAAAATTACCCAAAAATTATACTGAAAAAATTCTATTTATGGATTCTATAAGAGGGCTTGTGGAATGCTAAAAGTTCAGATCACTTGTTTGTAGAAAGCCATGCAACTATTTGGGTATGTTGCTACCTCGTCTCTGTTCCCCTCGGGAATTCCAGCTTCTTTTGCTTTTGGTCTGGTGGCTGCTAAAACATATTCCAGTTCATCTTTTTCAAATAAATTAGGCACTTCTCCTGAATTCAGAATATTATTTATGTCTTCTAGGAACTCCTCCACTACAATCTATAGAAGAAAGCAGAATGATCATCATAATTCAGTCACTTTATAGTTGTTATATGTGAGTTATTGAGCAATTTATTTTATTTTTATTGCAAAATAAAGGTGGATAAAAAGACAAAAATCACCTACAAGCTCATGACCCAGATGTTTTCTAGTTGTACATATGAAATAACTGTCTACATATACATTAAACTGAATAACCTATAGAATAGACTCTTCGTTTGTTTATGCTGAGCCTGGAGCTTGAACTCAGGGCCTGGGTGCTGCCCCTAAACTTTTTTGCCCAAAGCTGGCCCTCTACTGCTTTAGCCATAGCTTTTTGGTGGTTGTGATAAAAATCTAATGGATTTTCCTTTCTTGGCTGGCTTTGAACCATGATCCTCAGATCTCAGCCTCCTGAGTAGCTAGGATTACAGGTGTAAGCCACTGACACCTGGCTCAGAGTCAATTTTTTTGTATATAAAGTATGCAAATATATGGTATAAAATATCATAAACATTCTTGCATTAATTATTGTGTATGTTTCTACAATAGAATTTTAATATTTTATGTGGTGTTTTATTATGTGATAATGCTAAAATTTACTTATGTAATTTTTTCATGGTACATTGGGACTCTCGTTATTTAAAAATACTACAATAAGGGCTGGGAAGGTGGCTCAGTGGTAGAACGCTTGCCTTGCATGCCTGAGGCCCTAGGTTCAATTCCTCAGCACCACATAAGCAAAAAGAAAAAAGCTGGAAGTGGCGTTGTGGTTCAAGTGGTAGAGTGCTAGCCTTGAGCTGAAGAGCTGAGGGACAGCGCCCAGGCCCAGAGTTCAGGCCCCAAGACCGGACCAAAAAATAAATAAATAAATAAAATACTACAATAGCTATTCTTGTACATATAACTTTGTCACACAACTGTTATTAATGTATAAATGAAATTAAAAGGCTGCAATTTTATATTGCAGTTAACATATTCCAGAAAGAAAGTTGTGGGGCTGGGAAGGTGGCTCAGTGGTAGAGCGCTTGCCTTGCATGCCTGAGGCCCTGGGTTCGATTCCTCAGCACCACATAAGCAAAAAGAAAAAAGC